AAAACGAGATCATGCTCATGTCCTGCGGCATGGGGTCCGTTGATGAGCTGTTGGTGGTGGACGCGGCGCCGGCGAGAAGGGAGTTGCGTTTGACCAGCATGCTGGGGTCGACGTCGATCTCGGAGTCGTACTGTTCTTCGTTCCCATCTTGAGATGAAATTAAGGGAAACAGCAGAAGTAGAGCCAAAATGACCTGGAAAAAAATTAAAATCTCAGTTTTGGAAACAATGCCCATTTTACCCATTTCTGTACCCAATTCAGTTCCTGGTCATGGCAACACATAATTCTGTTCCTTATCGCATCCACCATAAAGATCCTGAGGATTCTGAACATTGAAATACCCGCTAGGAAAGTACACCCCCCCCACCCCCAGTGACCCTTTTCCAAAAAAAAACCTTCCTGAAGATTATGAGAATTTTAAACATTTTGACGGAAAATCTACGACCGGGGGTGCGGAAAGTATAGAATAATGCCCAAGAAAGAAGATTCGGTGGCATTTTCCCCAAAAAGACCCGGAGATATTTGAACTTGTTTGGGACAAAAGAGGATCCAGTGGCCCTTTTCCAAAAATTGTGAGGATTTTGAATATTTTGGGGAAACACGTAGCACCGGAGGTTGTGGGGTATGGAGTACTAGGTTCGGAGGTGTTCCGTTCCAAAAAAAACGAGCATAGGGATAGTGAGGACACATTTTGAGGGAAAACATTGTACCGGGGTGTTTGAGGGGTATGGAATAACCCCCAGGAAATGAAGATTCGGTGGCTTTTGTTCCAAAGAAACACCGTGAAGATCACGAGACCATTGACATGTTAGGGGAAATCGAGGGTCTTGGCGTATGGAGTGCACCCATCAGGAAAAGGAGATTTGGTGGCTTCTGTTCCCAAAAAAAACCATCGTCACGAGAACCGAAGCGCGAAGATATGCTAGAGGGGATCCCAGACCGGTGAAGGAAAAATTTGTGAAAACGCGTAAAAACGTGACTTGCATCTCGATAGATTTCTTCCACAAAGACCCAGTGTTTTCAGATAGTTCGTTGGTGGAGTAAGGGTGCAGATGCCGTGGTGCTCGGAAATACTCGAGGACCTCGAAAAACTTGAGGAGCCTTCGGAGAAACCTTGGACGTCCAGTAAAACCAGAGAGAAAGAGGACCTGAGATAACGGTGCGACCATCAAACGATCAGAGAACCTGAAGGAGCTAACGAGAAACCTAGATAACCATCTAGATGTAGGATACAGTTGAGGAATAGTTGAGAAAACCACTAAAATCCAGGAACCCATGAAGACAAAGTCAACAACGCTGTCTCACTCGCCCCAGATTTCTGTGCCCATCCTAGAGGTTTATGTCTAAAACATTTCAAAGTTTTGTTAAACCCGTCCAGCTAATGGAAGGGCCATGGCAATCGAAGACCAGAACCTTCAAAACCTTTCCATAGCCTGGTAGCACTCCAGAACAATTATCGCTCGCTACAATCGCCAAGTTCCCAATATCACTTCCAATGCCCTGAGAATCGAATGCACTCCAGCTAAGGATCCGAGGAATTGCTGAACAACACTGTGAATGTCTTTCCTAAGCGCTTTCCAAATCCTTAAACAACTTCCTACTACTTTCCAAGTTCACTAAAGTTACCTAGGTCCTTCCCAGAAATTGTTTAACCCATCATAACTTGCTAGACACCTTCCTGGGCTTTCTAAACACTTTGAAGACCCTTTGCTACTACTAGATCTCTCCACGCCCTCTCCAGTTCTCTATATATTTTTGCTTAGTCCTCATAAGCACCTAGTAAACCCTCAGAGAAGCCCAAAAGGCGCTCTGAGTAGAATTGAGACTTTCCGGAAGTTGAGCTTCTGCTAACACCCCTCGGTGACACGTTTGATGGAATATTAAGGAAATCTCGAGGGAAAACTGTAATGAGAGTGGTGAGATAGCCGATTTTGGGGGAGAATATAACACCGGGGGGCCTGGGGGTATGGAATACCCTCTAGCAACAAAAAAATTCGATGACCATTTCCACAGAATCACCATTATCAACATGAGGTCATTCGCATACTCTTATAAATACACTCTTCGTATGCTGGGGGGTATTCAATACCCCCCAGACCTCCCGCTGACACGTTTGATGGAATATTACGGATATCTCGAAGGAAAACTGTAATGAGAGTGGTGAGATAGCCGATTTTGGGGGAGAATATAACACCGGGGGGCCTGGGGTATGGAATACCCTCTAGCAACAAAAAAATTCGATGACCATTTCCACAGAATCACCATTATCAACATGAGGTCATTCGCATACTCTTATAAATACACTCTTCGTATGCTGGGGGGTATTCCATACCCCCCAGACCCCCCGATGACACGTTCGATGGAATCCTAAAGAAAACTCAGGGGAAAACTGCAATAAAAGTGGCGAGGTAGCCGATTTTAGGGGACATTGCAACATTGAGGGACCTGGGAGTACGGAATACCCCCCAGAAACAAAAAAAAACGATGATTAATTGCCTAGAACATGAGATCATTCGCATATTCTTATAAATACATTCTTCGCATGCTGGGGGGTATTCCATACACCCCAGACCCACCGGTGACACGTTTGATGGAATATTAAGGAAATCTCGAGGGAAAACTGTAATGAGAGTGGTGAGGTGGCCGATTTTGGGGGAGAATATAACACCGGGGGGCTTGGGGGGATGGAATACTCTCTAGCAACAAAAAAATTCGATGAGCATTTCCACAGAATCACCGTTATCAACATGAGGTCATTCGCATACTCTTATAAATACACTCTTCGTATGCTGGGGGGTATTCCATACCCCCCAGACCCACCGGTGACACGTTTGATGGAATATTAAGGAAATCTCGAGGGAAAACTGTAATGAGAGTGGTGAGGTGGCCGATTTTGGGGGAGAATATAACACCGGGGGGCTTGGGGGGATGGAATACTCTCTAGCAACAAAAAAATTCGATGAGCATTTCCACAGAATCACCATTATCAACATGAGGTCATTCGCATACTCTTATAAATACACTCTTCGTATGCTGGGGGGTATTCCATACCCCCAGACCCCCCGGTGACACGTTCGATGGAATCTTAAAGGACACTCGGGGGAAAACTGCAATAAAAGTGGTGAGGCAGCCGATTTGAGGGGAGATTGCAACATTGAGGGACCTGGGGGTACGGAATACCCCCCAGAAACAAAAAAAATCGATGATTAATTCCCTAGAATCTCCATTATCAACATGAGATCATTGGCATACCCTTATAAATACACTCTTCGTATGCTGGGGGGTATTCCATACCCCCCAGACCCACCGGTGACACGTTTGATGGAATATTAAGGAAATCTCGAGGGAAAACTGTAATGAGAGTGGTGAGGTGGCCGATTTTGGGGGAGAA